TACACAACAGTGCCAATGTAAATAGTAAGGAAGAAAAATGTCCCCTACTTGTGTGACTTGCTCTATGGCACAGAGAAATAAGCTATAAGCTAAATTAGCTTTGCTTTTTAGAAAGGGTTATTCAATTGCTGGTTTTGGTCTTATTTTAGCATTTTGCCACAAGAAGAAACATGCACAACATTGGCAGACCTTCCCTTTGATCGCTCAAAGAAAAGGTTTGTAAAAAAAAAGACAGAAAAAAGAAACTGTATGAGATTTCAAATGCACGCCTCGTCATTGGCCATGTTTCTTTGTTTTTCTTATCTTGCAGTGCGAAATGAGACGGTAAGAGTTGCATCAGCGGGTCTGAAAGCAGTGAACTCTTGTACAGGTGTTTCTAAAGCTGGCGGGAGCAATGTTCTGCCGTGTTGGTGAATGCTCTACAAGAAAAACAAGTCTAATTTGAAACCCGTACATTGAAGGAAGCATGTAATGTGCTGTAGTCTTTTGACTTTCTCTGAGCACTTACAAGAAGACAATCCACCATCGCCACCTCCTCCCACTTCCCAGCTCCATCTCCATTTTGTCCTCCCACCACTTACCTCCATCATCCCAACACTTAACATCCCCTATAGATTCCATATCAGGAAATATGTTTGATTAATGTAATATTGAAGCCAGGCCAACTTAATATGTTTGATCAGGGCCTGGTTTGCAATATTCACACATGGTGGAGGATAAAGATAGGATGAGGAGGAGGGGAGGCAAGATGAAGGGATTATATATTTCTTGGGTTTAAGTTCTACTCAGGTTGCCAGGGATGAGAACAGGTGATGATAAGAAACGGTTTAACTCAAAGCCACACATGGCTGTCTCGGGAACATGAGAGCTTTAATTCTATTTTGAGATTTTATTTTAAAAGTTGATTTGCCGCATGTTGTGGCTATCCTATGGAAAATACTTTAAATGCGTTTTAATTTGGAGTCCCATGCTCCTGTGTGCCCCCCTCTGGCTCACACCACATGAATATAACATCAAGATCCTGAATGTAACATCTGTCTAATGATGAGGCCGGTTCAGTTCAGCCGTGTGATGTGATCCGAATCCTCGGGCCCGCGTCATGAGGGGCTGACAGTGCCCAAGAAATCCTGCATGAGAGTTTACAACCAGGATTTACCGCAGGGGTTAAGTTATCAGCACAAATCATCCCTTTTTTCATTTGCAGAACCAGTCCTCCAGACATGATTTACAAGCACAGTGGCTGCCGACATGAAATCCAAGGGTAACTCTGGGCTGCAAATCACACCGGCTTTGCCTCTCTTTTCCCGTCGTGCTATTGGTGTCATGGAAAGGGACATATTCCAAATCTGAAGTTACAGATTACAACATTTTCCGAGTGTAATGAGGTGTTTAGTCCCATCTCTGTCATAGTAAGTGGGAAGTAGGACAGTGTGTCACATCACCCAGAGTAAAAGTGGGAAAGGAGAATCCGCTCACTGTGCTTTAAGCATGATCCAGTTGCTCCTATTTGACATTGCTGTATTTTGTCATTTTAAAGGGTAAACATAAATCTCTCAGTCAAAACTAGCTACCAGCAGACACTAATGTGAACTACCTCAGGATGTCTTCATATCTTTTATATCTTCCTCACATCAGGGATGCAGTTTAATAATGTTTAACTCTGGAGTCCGAGGAGTTTGAATTAAGTGTTTGTCTGTAATACAAACAAAAAAGAAAATGTTATAGTGCAATTTCTATTTGTGATTCATTCTTATTATTTTCATATTTGTGTCTTCCATATCAGTGTGAGACGCTTTTACTTTGAATGCATATTATTATAGTGAATAGAGGTCTGTGAGTAGGTTCGGCTTTGTGGCTGCAACCGACATTACTTTCAGAGCTGCGGAAGACTCGTCTGGGAAACTGTTTGTGTTTATTTTGGAATTATGGACTTATAAAAAAAGGATGCTTTGATATTGTTTTTTACTCCTGCCATTGAAGTTTCCTTCCACATCCTGACCTGTGTGATATACCAAAATACAGCTTTCCAGACATGAAAGTTGTGAACGATGAAAAGGGATTGTATATCCTCAGTGCGATTCATTAGGCTGGGTCACATTGGCATATGCTAATACAAATAAGAGGAAGATAATAACAACAACATTTTAGCAGCATGTGCTCTCTATTGTCTCCACTAATTCTGTAAATAGCCTGGAGCAGGGCAACATGACATCCCTTTTCATGACTCTCTACATATAAGAGCCATTGATTATTAGATAGATATGAGGTCATTTTCATCAGTGTTTCAAGCTTTCAATATGTTCATGTTCTCTTAAAAGCCAACTTCAGATTAAATGATGATATTGCAAAGATGCTGCCTCTGTGCCTGATGCCGGTCGTTGCTCGGCTGCCACGGATCGTCACAATTCACTGCCACACCGTCTCCAATAGCGCAGAGACGACGGGACAGAAAATCAATGGGCTCTCATGGGCTACTCTATCAGTCCCACTATCTGGAGCTCGATGGCGGGGAAAAACAGGGGGTGGGGAGGATTTGCTGGATGAAGGGAAGGAGGGATTGACGAAGGTTTTAGAGCCACATTAGGTGGGGTTGGATGGGCATGAGTGAGCTGAGGCAGTAAACAAAACCCGCAACAAAGTAAGCTCTATACAACAAATGTTGGGCATCACTAACACATACTGGAGTTCTTCTACCAATACCAAACAGATCAATTTTTAGATACCATTTAAAGCCATGAGGCATGTCTCCCTATGGGGGGCTTTGGAGCTGGAGGGGATGCGAGAAGGCAGAGACATAAGGTATAGATCATGTGCGAGGATACAGGAAGTTATTAATTGTAGTTTGGATCCATGGTTAGCAGTAGAATTGGCACACAGCTAATGGAGGAAATGCAAGTACTTTAAAGACCTTTGAGCTTTATGGGCACATTATACATAAAATAATCCTACTCCAAACTCTTTATTAAATAAATAGAATTTATTTTATTTTTGTATCCAGTGATAGCTGTCAGTAAATCTATGCATACATTTCAAATAAGAACTGCAATAAGCTAATTTGGCATACTTTTGACGGTGCCTATCTCCCTTAAATGTAAAAAAAGGGCTAAAATAACTGGGTTTGAATGATAGCCCACAGCTAACTCTATAGCATTCGGTTTTTGCAGCAGTGAAATTGCAAAAGAAGGCAAGCAGGCATACCATAGCATAAACCAATTATTTTCTCCAAAGATTATTTTACAAGAGACTAAAAACCACACACAGATCCTTCACCTTTCAACTCTTATTGAATTCCCTTTTGGAAATACAAAAAATAGTTGACTTAGTTCCTTTTATGCTCGTGTGCAGTTCTTTCCGTGCCCATGAACTGCGGTTAATATGTGAGATACAAAGTAAGCACTTGGACTAGACACATTCAGACAGTCATTACGTTACAGCTTTTGTACTGCATTCTTTCTTCACAAAAGAAACACTAAAGAAGTTCACCCTAACCCAGAAATACTCAGAGGTGACTTATTTTATAGACGAATACAGACTGATTGCTGATTGCAGTGTTATGTGAAAAAAGTATTATTACAAAAGGTGCATAACACTTATATAATCAAGTAAGTAATTGCTGTCAGCTATGAATATATGTGTTCCATTTGTTTGAAACAGTTAATCCAATAGAGTTCTTGGTCTTTCTATGAGACTTGTGTTAACTTTGATTTATTTTAAAGATGTGAAAAAGTGTTATACAAGATGTTCAGTATTTAATAATGAGTTATTAGCAGATCCTATTTTCATTGTTGCCAAGCAATTAAAGGTGGGGTGTGTAATTTATTTCAGAAACACTTTTTGTTGTATTCCATGGAATGCTCTTAACATCCCGATAGCAATGAATATATGAAATGCTTTGATAATAAATCCACAAAAAAATGTCATCTGTGGAAGCCGTAGTACTGTAAAATGCACGACCAATCATTTTAGCCGGCCCGGCTAAAATAACTGGATGGCCTACCTGCCTGTCAGCCTTCCATCTTTGCACAAACTTATCTCGTGCCCTCATTGGTCATGTGCATGTTTGTGTGTGTTGGAGGAGGGGCTCTGTAAGGAAGTGGAAGTATTTTCAAATTCTAGTGCACTCGAGCTGGTTTCTCCAAAATGACATACCCCACCTTTAAGGAACATTGTAAAAGGTTTGAACTTGAATGTAGTTCTTGTTTATTTTATAGATTTTTTTAACCAATTTGCTGGTGCACGATATATACATAATTCAGTACATTTGTATCTGTTTATTAGTTTGTTGCATTTAGTTAGGAAATCAATGTTTAAGTCAAGATGCCAGTCACTTTCTCACAGTAAGGCATAAAGCTTATTAAATTAACATTTATATCAGTACTTGGTGTCGGCCAATGGACAAAGGTATGAGGACCGAGACAGTCAGATTTTGCATCCCTAATAAGAGGAGATTGGAAAAGCAGAGGAAGGGATTCATGAAGGAAAAAGGAGATCAAGTCAAAAGAGGAAAGCAAATGCAAGGACAGAGAAATTAATGAAGAGATAAACAGATTGTCACAATGAAAAGGTTTGAGAGTTGGAGGGAACGTGGGCAACACTGATGAGCAAGAGACTCAGAAAGACGCAAGTGTTCAAACAAATTATTTGAAATAAGAGCAGCGGCTCATGAAGGTGATAGCATTCGGAATGCCTCCAACAAACCATTTAACATTCACCGCTAGAACCGACTGTAGATATGATTGCTTCAGGCAATGCATGCAAATGTTTTTTTAAATGTGAAATGCTGCCATCCAGCTCCTGAATTATTTTCTCCAATTTTGCTCATTCTGCTCTTTGATTTCACACCTGGCTCAGGTTTTGCTGATAGGGTTTAGACAAAGCATCTTCAACAATAAGTTCCGTGAAGCATGACCAGAAATGGATTACTCCAGATGCTTTTACCTCAGTTGTTGCAACTAAGGTTAGCGGTGAGATAACATTTCCTTCTCCTCTCTTTGTTTCAGTGGTGGATAGCAAGGTGATCCTGGAGGGTCTTCAGAGGTACGGCCCCACGCCAATCTATCTGCCTGTCAACTACCAGATCTTCAACGCGGAGTCGGCATTCTTCCTACAGGAGGCCAACCAGGACTTAATGAGGAACTCCAGCCTGCAGGCTCGCACCGAGTCTTTCTTCATCCACCAGGCCCGGCAGATGCCGTTTGTCAACGCTAGCTACGGGCCGCTGTCTGTCCAGCAGCCGGTCCCTCTGGATCTGCTGCAGACGCTGCCGGGGCCCTTCAACCCCCCAACCTTCGATACATCATCAGCACCAACATCAGCATCATCATCATCGCCGCCTCTCTTCACATTCAACTGGAAGGTCCACACCTATATCATCAGCGACAGGATTCACCCCAGTTGGCCAAAGGTCCAAGTGTTGTTCTACATCGCGGGGAGGGACTGGGATGATTACAGCGCCATCCACAAGCTGCCCTGCGTCAGGATGTTCGCCTTCCACGAGACTCAAGAGGTGCGCGGGACATGCAGGCTAAAAGGTGAGCTGGGGATATGCGTGGCCGAGCTCGAGCCCCTCGCCAGCTGGTTCAGCCTGCCCACAGTGAGACCGGGCAGGCAGAGGGTCTCGGAGCAAGCCCAGGGAACGCCTGTGGAGCTCTACTACATGGTTCAAACCACGGGCAACGGAGACTGCAACTTGGAGGATTCAAGGAAGGGCAGCTCTGTGCGCCCAGACCAGCAGAGGCCGATGGGCTATTACGCAGGGCACACCCCCATGCAGCGCATCGGCAGCGTCAGGCTGTTTCAGCCGCTGTCCGAGCTGAAGCTGGACAATAACTTTGTGGTGATGTCGCCCTCCAAACCCATCCGGCAACGGGAAACAGTCTCTACTTTTCTGGCTCTGTCTACGCTGTCCTTAGTGCCAATATTCACCCTCAGGTGAGTCAACCTCCTCCTTAGAGAACACTGTTCAATGTGCCGCTCTACTAATCAGAGGTGGGAAGTAGTGGAGTACAAATACTTCGTTACTGCACTTAAGTACATTTTTCTGGTATCAGTACTTTACTCCACTACTTACTTTTCTGACGATTTTTTACTTTTACTTCTTACATTTTAAAAACAGGCTCGTTACTTTAGTTTTAATCTGTGTTTGGTGGCGTGATCATTATTATTTAGAGTCATTGCGTGCCTATTGATTTTAACACGATCCGTGTATCCATCATTTCCTGGTCTTCTCTAAAGAAGAGGGCCCAATGAGAACTCGGCTCGATTATTGTTCTATTAATATAAAGGGAGGTCAGTTACTCTTTAAAACAGTTGGTAGTTATGGGTACTTTTTACTTGAGTACATTTCGAAGTCCATACTTCTTTACTTATACTTGAGTATAGAAGTTTAGTCAGTACTTCTACTTTTACCAGAGTATTATTAAACATGAGTATCTGTACTTCTAATTGAGTTAAGGACGTGTGTACTTTTGCCACCTCTGCTAATAATATTATCCAAACTCATTTAAACAGCCACCATCAGGCGTCAAGGAGTTAAAAAAGAAAGAATCGGTAGACCTTTGGAGGCAGGGATGGATATCACTACAGCCATATATCTGAAAATGCAAGACAACATTTACATTATACATGTCACTTGTGTTTTTAGAAATGATGAGGCATTACAGTAAATAGAAGGATATTCTTAGTCATTGTTTGTCATAAATTAAAATGATTCATACAGGGTATAACTAATTTACAGCCTCTAGGTTTGTGAAATACATTTCACAGTTTGTAGGCAACACAGTTGTAGTCCCATCATGTATTTACTGTGGTGGCTGGGAGAAATTACTTATAACAGCTTGTTAAATCAAAAATAATCTGCCGTTGGCAAAACCGGGGATTAATCTCTGGCATTTGAGATTAGAAAAATGTGCACATGATAAGCTTTTGATTTGCCACACCAGACTTCTGTTCACAATGTTGCCATGACACCGCTAGTCAACTGGCCAGCATTAGTTACGTCAACAAGCATTTTTATCTGGGTCATTCTTCTACTCTAAATCTAAATCTAAATTTGACAAATGAAAGAAATATTAATGAGACCAACCAAGAGAGCCATCATTTAATCAATTACCTGGCTTTAATGTGTAGGGAAACAAAGCCAGACAACACTCTCAGATCCTTTTCCTGCTTTGCCTTTGCCAATGCCAAGTAAATGCTAATTTGAGATGGCAGACATATTTTCTTTTGTGAAACAACATTATTTCAATGACAAATAATTGGTGCTCATTTCAAAGTATTCTGGACATTCAAAGCACGAGCAATTGCAGTGATGTTAAAGTTAATAAAAAAGCATAAAACTGAGAGCAAAGTTTAAAAATAGTTAATTTATGGTATATTTTTATGATTACAGTTAGGAGTTCATGTTTACAGAATGTGATCTTGTATTATTTATCTTGCTTACTCATAACATTATCTGAAAAAAACTTTTAATAAACACATGTAGCTAATAGGCTTCTCTTTAGAAAGTTGTTAGTAGCGGCTACAGATAAAATGTTGTTTTCTTTAATTGCTATGGAATAAGCGTTTCAAGTGTTTGTTTGTGTTGATTGTGACCTTACAAGTCATTTTGGAGAGAAAGATTATAGCGGCTAACACCTTCCAAACAGCATCGGCAGGGGATTCTTTTGACTGGATAACACCTTAATAACACCCTTGTGCTATTCAGGATGATTGTTTTCGTTACTCACCTTCAAAATTGCTTGTCTGAGTCAAATTTGTATCTGAGGTGATTCCACACATCAGCATCAAAAGTAGTTATTGATTCATTGAGCTTTGTCTCGTACAAATTACCATTCAAGTGACTGTAATTGCTCCGTGTTGTGTGATGCAAATGAAGGTGTGCGGAATATGCATTCAACGGCCTACTTTTATGCCTGAGATCTAACTCATGGCAGATGAAACAGTTAGCAGCCTCAAAGTGGAGCTGTGACAGAGAGCCCTGGCAATTTGTCAACCCCGGGTGAGCAGGAAATCTGCCAAAAAGCCTCATTGCTTTTCGTCTCACTCCAGCGATGATGAACTCCCATGAAGTATTAGCACTCCCAGTGTGTGTTTATCACATTTGTCAGCATGTGTGGATATGGGAACTTTAAAGGCAGGCGGTATTTCTTCTTACAGGGCCTTTTTTGCACCAGCACCCTGATCATTTAGAAGTTCATATTTTTTATGTTTTTCCGTTGGGATAGCGCAGACTTTAAATTCAACCGAAATACCTCATTAGTGACCAAAAGATTAGACTTCAAAGTGTGAAAATCACAGGCTACTTTACACTACTTGATTGCTAGCTTAGCAAAGTCTGTAACTGAACGTACGGACGCTGATTGCTGTTCTTGCGTCAGTTTTGTTGTGCCTTGCTTTTATGTTGCAAGGTTAAACCTGTGGATCAATGTCTTTTCATCTCAGTTGTTAGATTCCCTGATAATAGAAAAACTTTACTTTCAGGTCTTTATAATTCCCATGATGATGGTGTGAATACAAACTGTGATTACAGAAGGTGGGGGCTGTGGATCCTTTCACTTGATGTGTTGAACGCTGCGTGTGTTGGTATACTGTCTGTGAGTGTTTGTTTAACGGCGTGGATGTGTTGATGGACGTTTTACTTTAAAAGTAACCCTGGTGAGTTTCTCCCAGTGGTTAAGGCATCTTTAACGATTTATGTTCTCTAGAGTTTCTCTCGTCTTTACATTATCCTCCACATGTTAAGCCTTGGAAAACAGGAGGGGGATGCCCTCCTGTTTTCCAAGGCTTAACATGTAACTTTCTTTCCTCTCAATTGAAGATGTTTCATTATTTTCAGCATTGTTTTGATAGGATTGCAAAACTCTTTTGGACTTTGGGGAAATAATGAGGTGTAAAATCCTCTTCATTCATTAATTGAGATAGGATTAGGTGCATTTACAAGCATAAAACACCTTGAATTTGTCAAGCTCTTTATACACTTTATTCAATACTATCAGCAAAATATAAAGTGAGACTTCTTTTTATTTCTTTTTGCCAATGTCAAACTGATTATGTAAAGTATACAGTATCTCCAAGGGCTAATATACTTCCCAATTTAAAAATCAGGATAACGTATTAGTCTGCTGAGTTTGTCTGTTTGAGCGCACCATATACAATCAGCAGGCTTACATGCACACTAACATTAGATTTCGTTGGATTACCCATCCATCATTTGGGTCACGGTTTAATATTTCAGTCTTTAAATCCTTAGCGGAAGTCTAACATGTGCTTTGAATGCAAATCGGTCCTTTTTTAGACAGAGCAGGGCTAGTGGTGGTGAACAAAATAGTTTTGTAACAGTAAATCAACTATTTTCATTTCAGTTAATAAAAAACATGTTATGCACTAATGTTCAATGTTGTAGCATAAAAGAAAGAGCTTCCTGTTAACCTCCAAAAGTCCCATAAGGGTTTTATCTGATGAGACCGATGACCGAAATAAAGAAGAAGGTTGCTGTGAAACAAAAACACTGAAACCTTCAATATGACAAAAAAGGCTACATAATGACTGGCCCATCTTTTTTCCACATGGTACCATGGAAACACATAGAGAAATACACACAAATGAATGTGTCCCTTATCAATATTGGTTTTTCTGCTTTTAAATACACAAGTTCTTAGAAATCATAAAATGTGACTTTTCGTTGACGGGCTTCACTCGGAGCTGCTGCACTTTTCATTATCTTCAATCAACTGTCAAGAATCAAAATATGCCTTGACTCATGCTAGGATATCAACAGCGTGAGTTTATAAAATCATGCATCGCATTACTTCCAACGCTCTACGGTGCAAGCTGTAATATCAAGTAGGAATAATTGATGTGCCTCATGAGGCGTAACATATGTGAGTGATAACATTTAATATGTATCCTCAAGTTATCCTACAAACCAATGCCCAGACAGCGCCTTTACCTCACAGCAATATCAGAACAATTAACCGCAGAGCTATTTAAATGCCCATTTTCTCTCTCGTCTGATTGTTTAATGGGTTGTATTTGATCTTCTCCAAACTAATCTAATTATTGTGAATGTAATTGCAGGCTTTTGACCTCAGCCGCTGGAAAAACACAGACAGAGTCATGAATATGCACACACATACACTCGCATGTGTGCACACAGATATGCCAACACTCGCACTCGTCCATAGCCTGGACCTGCCTCGAGCTAACTGAGAAGTCATGCTGTGTTTGTCATGCTAAAGGCTCCCGGCGGAGTCACTAATTCTCTGCTCCCTGCCTCATTAGCCACGGAGAGTGGCGTAACAGGTTAGAAAACGCTTCTCCAGCTACTCCTTATTCAACATGCAAATGAAAACACCATTTCCTCCTGAACAAATTAACAGGCTTTTCAAAAGATAAATTGCCCCAGCTGTATTGTAAATGTGACTAAACAATCCAACATATTCCCACAGAGCCCCCCGGGGGCAGTGTTGCTGATGAATGCAAATGAATTGCTAATATCTGAGAGTGTGAAGGTATAAGTATGGGATTCTTCACGCTGTGTCCCAAACAGTCAGCAACTTGTTATTCAGGGTGTTTAGATTGTGAAGGCAGCAGGTTGAGAGTTTGGACTATAAATAAAAACTTAACTGAGCCCGGCTTGGAGTTTTTAGGACATGATGCAGTGCTTCGTGTCAGCTGTTTGTGATCCTTAACACGGTTCAGGTTTACAGGTCCTGTACTTTGGCTGTTTGTTGTTGGCCAATGTTTGCTGGAATATCAGCAGGAGAAAAGGTTGGAATAAAGATGTTCTCCCCAGTGTATTAGCCTTATCTTGACTGCACTACTCTGGGAATCAGTTATTGGAAAAGGTCACCCAGTATGTCTCTTTTTTTCCATTTCCGTGTCTGTACTTATCTGTACCTCTCCTTGTATTTCGTCTGCCACTCTGCCTT